GATAGATAGATAGATAGATAGATAGATAGATAGATAGATAGATAGATAGATAGATAGATAGATAGATAGATAGATAGATAGATAGATAGATACTAAAGTCAAGACTCATTTGACATTTAAGTGATATTATACATGGAAGTACTAACTTCTGTGTTTTGTTAACCTTTACTTTTTTATTGCTGTGGCTGGTCATTWTTAATACCATGACATTATCTAAAAATAGAGGTTACATTATATCAAACAACTGAATTTCTCCAGGCTGTAAATTACAGTTTAACTAAAGGACACTTCAAACTTCAAAACATCCAAAACAGAACACAGAATGACAAATTTGTACTAGAATTTGAATTGACTGTGACATATTTCAAACACAAAAAGTCAAAGAAARCATCTTTATATTTAAAAACTTGGCATAATACACATAATTTTACCTATTCTGTCACATAAGAGGCATATTTTATTTCATTGAATTCTGACACCTTCATCTACGTATATCTGATAGTGACTCAAAATAATCAAAATAAACAGATTCTTCTATACAGTCTATGTTGTTAGCTTGTTAGTTTTAACCATGATCTGTTCACATTCAGAAATTCCCCTTTGACATCACTTCCTATTACTTCACATGAGGAACAACTGTTTGTTTCAGCAAATTAAAATAWGTATATATTTACAATATGTTATCATTGTTATCTTTCAAAAAATGCATTTGTKTTTWTTACAAAAACACTACAAAAACACACAAATGTCACAGGAACTTAAAAATAATATGAACTAAACATTGCACTTTAGCAGTAACAGTGCCCAAAAAATGACTCATTGCACAATATTTAGTTAACTTCCACACATGTGACCACCACATAATTTGTTTCAACTTGGTCAAAAAACATAAAATGCTATTTTAACAGCTATTTTGATGTGATATCAGATAAATAAATAATATAAACTTAGAAATATTTTTGGAACACTGTTTAACATTTTTTTTATTTTTATTTTTATTTTTTGTATTGAATTATTTTCTTTTTTCCTAATTAAACTTGTAAGAATCATAGTTTTTATGTTAGGTCAGATTTATTGATTATTGTTTTAAARCTGAACCTTACAAATCCATATTTTTGTTTTATCAGTTGTAATAGTGTTTAAACGCTGGCTGATTAACAATGCTACCAAACAAAATCTCCAGCCTCGTTTGCCTAAAACCCAAAAGAGAAAAGAAAAAAAAAAGACAGACAATTTTTCATTTGCTTTTCTTTGTCTCTTCCTAGGAGCCTTTGCTGAAGCTAAACTTTGTTTTTCTTTGCTTTCATGTATTTCTTCATTTTCTTCTGTCTTGCAGTTGCCCCGTTCCCCGTGGAGGATAATGGAACGGCTGTGGTTCTTTTTGCTGTTGCTGGCAGCGGCTTGCAGGGGACAGCCATGTCCAAAACGTTGCATGTGCCAGAGCCTTTCTCCATCGCTCGCTATCCTCTGCTCCAAGACAGGCCTGCTCTTTGTTCCTGCTGCCATCGATCGGCGCACTGTGGAGCTAAGGCTTCAGGAGAACTTCATTACAGGTATCATTCATGCAAGCCCATCCTGAATTCAATTCAGTTTATTACTGCAAAAAAAAATTAAATGACAATTTATTTTTCTCCTTTACAYTTAACAGTAGGTGTTTTGGAAGATTTCATGGGAACACGTTTCTTGGTTGCTGATAATTGGTCGCATTAACCTTATCTTGGAACACAGGGTGTACYGTTTTTTACTTTTTTTTGCGCTGAATACAAATGCTGGTTCCTTTTTTCCCTCAATTCCTAAAAATAAGCTGTATTACCCATGAGCTTYGGTATTCCTATTTGATTTAAATACCTTTGTTTGTTTTGGTTTTTGGCTTTACTGATATATTCCTTTTTTTCCCTTTGTATATCAAAGAGTTTGTTTAATTGCTTTGAAACATACTTTTTTGTGAGGCAGAGACAATTCATCCTAGTGTTTTTCATTTTTTTTTAAATTTTTTAATCTGGATTTAATCTGGAAGTCTTAACAGAAAGACTTCCAAACCTAACAAAAGTACTGTTCCTTTGTGCTATGAAGAAACAATTGTAAAATTGTCTTTTTTGAGCTTTATGTAATATTAAAAATTGGAGGCACAACGGCTCAGTGGTCAGCACCAATGCTTCACAGCAAAAAGGTCCTGGGTTTTATCCCCGATTCAGACCTGGGGGTCTTGCTAGGCATTTATGCACCACACGGCCTGGCCCGGCCYTCCCCGACCTCCAMCCCGGGTTTGGTGTTTTTGCATGTCCGTTTTATGACAGGCTCCAGTCCGACTTCTGGAACCTGGCCAGGCAAGGTTCTAATTGGGCCGGCCCGGTTTGGTGTATATATATA